TATACTCGATGCAATGAGAAGGAAAATAATGTATAAATTCTAACATTCACAGCATTAAACCAAAAGAGGGCTCAATTCTGATAGTGGAGCAAAAATTATTTATTATAATTTTTTCATATCGAAAAAACATTTTACTCATTCTAAAGATGCAACTTCGTTTCGGTGCATTTCAATTGTGCTTCGTCTGGTGAGAACCAAAATTCATTCTCACCAGTCGAGGTACAATAGAACAGCACCGAAAGGAAGTTGCATCTTTGTAGTGAGTAAACTGTTTTTGTCCATATGAAATTTACAATATATATATATATATACACTCATACACACACACACATATATATATATATATATATATATATATATATATATATATATATATATATATATATATACAATCACAATAATGTAAATTCGTGCGTTAAATTCGTCGATATATATCTCAAAATCTTCAAATATATATATATATATATATATATATATATATATATATATATATATATATATCAATGCAAATATAAATAAATATACTGTGGGATTTTATTTTAATCATTTCACCCCAAGCAAAGCGAGAATGCAACTAAGACGCAAGGGGTTACTGAGAGTAAAACAAAATGAAAAGAATATAGTGAGGAGAAAGGCAAATAAGGAAGAGGTTTCAGAAAGACAAAAGATGTTGATTGATGAAGTATTTAATTTTTTTTTTATCATTGTAGGTGCCATAGTAAGAAGACTGGAAGAGAGTTCCACAGGATCGGACACTGATACACACTCATATATACAGTGGGCGGAAACAATTAATCGAACGGATAATTATTCTTTTTAATTTATTGCATTCTAAGTAATAAATAAACATTCTTTTCATATTATTAACTGTACACAAATGCATAACTAAATATGGATAGTAATCAGAAAAAATGATTTTATAGAAATAAATCCCATTTTAATGGGCGTAAAAAGTATTTATACAATGAAAATTTCAGATTATAAAACTTAAATTGCTTTAATACTCTAGATTATTCAATGGTAATATTCTAGAAGGTTCCAGTAATGTTATCAGTAGTTATTTTTAGCCTTAAAGTACAAACGCAACATTCTGTGATTGATATTCGTACAAGAAGGTTTTCATCATGGCAAGTGGGAAGAGCTGAAAAATTCGCAAAAACAACTGATAGTTAAGTTATGGAAAGAAGGTAACAGTTACAGGAAAATCTCACATCACAAATATTCCATTTACTACCATTAGTTCATTCAATGCACGGAATAAAAAAAATCAAAACTTTTGAAAACCAAATAAGAGAACAGGTGCTCCACGGAAGATTTCTCCAAGATCTACGAGAAAATTCATGCGTCAAATGAAACAAAATCCAATGGTTACTCGTCCAGAGTTACAGGAATCGGACTCACTAAACGGTAATAGGCAATGAAATTCATAGAAACAATCGAAACTCAAGTTCCACGACTATTAAAAATACAGAGATGCCAGGCTAAAATTCGTTCGTGAAGATATGGATAAGTGAAAATCGTATTGGGAAAGTGTTTTATTGACAGACGAAAGGAAAACTGAGTTGTTTGGACGTAATTCGAGAAAACATGGATGGAGGCAAGATGGCGATGCGTTCCAAAAGAAAAGAACACTTCCAACGGTGAAATTTGGTGGTGGCAGCATTATGGTTTGGGGATGTTTTTTTTTTCTGCAAAAACTACTAACAACATATCAGTAATAGATGGTAGAATGAATGTCGCAGCATATCAAAATATTTTAGAAGCAAATTTAATGATTTCCGCTGAAAAACTTTAAATTGCCTTCTGATTGGATCTTTCAACAAGATAATGATGCTAAGCACACTGCAAAATTTACAATGGAATTGCTTGCTAAAAATAATGTAAATATACTGAAATGGCCCTGTCAGTGCTCAGATTTACACCCAATCGAGAATCTGTGGCGTTATTTGAAAATTCAATTCCAATGGAGAGCTCCAACAAACATCGCGGATATGAAAACCATATGCAAAAACGAATTAGATAAAATGCTAACTAAAATTGGCAAATCATAACTATAAGTAGAGGTTTAGTAGCGAATAATGGCTATTCTATAAAGTATTAATATCCTGTGTTTATTTTTCATACTTTTTTCAGTTATTAAAATGGATAAATTGAATTTATTTCTATTGAATCATTTTTTTCTTTTCTATGCATATTTAGTTATATGAAAAGAATTAAATCCGAAAATATTTTAATATATTATCTGTTTATACGTCATGTTTATGGATAGAACTTATTTGAGTAAATGCTCTGTTTTTGATTAAACAGTATTAAGTACATTTACCGGTCTAAATGTTCGAGAAATTTCTAAGAAAATACGCGTTCTCCGAAAGGAATCGAACCTGGCCTGACGTCATGTTTAACCATTCAGTCAGAGAAAATTCTCCAGTTAGCAAAGTCCAAATTACTGCTTATAAACTCACATCTTTAACGATCTTTCTCGATATATCGTTTCAACTTCGAAACGTAACCTAACGTAAACAATGACAATATATTAGAAGAAATGAATTAAATCCGACAAATGTTTTAACATAGTTTCTGTTTTTACGTTATTTTTGTGGATACAACTTATTTGATTTTATGCTCTTTTTTATTTTTTAATTAAGCAATAATAATTATGTTTACTGGCCTGAATGTACTAGAAATTTCGTAGAAAATTTGCGTTCTCCGACATGAATCGAAGCTGTAACCTATACTGAAACCGTCATATCGCCTGAAGTTCTGTTGACCACTCAGCTACAGAGAACTCTCCGGTTAGCAAAGTCTAAATTACTGTTTAGTGTTGTGATACTTTCAGTTCATTTGCTGAACTAGAAGAAAAACTGAAAAGTTACCAATCCACTAACTGCAACATGTTTATAGAGCCTTAGGATCGTCAGTAGGAGCTGTGCAGACAGGACTTTTCGGTTGCAGGGGCTGAGGGGAATGTTTGTCCCTACCCGAGTGTACGCGTTCGGGTCCCCACATTCATCAATTTTGATTTGTGACATGGAGCATTATCCTGCATAAAAAATGAGCTTGGTGGGGTGGATTCAGCAGAAGGGAGCAGACAAGACACTAAAATTTTCTTGTACTGTTCTCTGGTGGGGGTCTTTTCAATAGGTTTTAAGAAACCAGTTCCATGAAAAGAAAAGCATCCCCAGAACATTATACTGACGGATGCTTGACAATACTTACTGCTAAATTCAAAGAGCTTTCAAAGCTTCTTCTTCAGATTTTAGATCGCTTATCCTTTGAATTTAGCTCAACTTTAGTTTCATCGGAGAAGAGGACATTTAGTAAAAAAAAAATCAGGTGAGTCACTTTTATCGAACAGCACTGTATATTAGAACAAATGGATTAAATCCGACAAATGTTTTAATATAGTTTCTGTTTTTACGTTATTTTTGTGGATACAACTTATTTGAATTAATGCTCTTTTTTTTAATTAAACAATATTAATTACGTTTACCAGTCAGAATGTTCTAGAAATTTCGTAGAAAATTTGCGTTCTCCGACATGAATCAAACCTGTAACCTATACTGAAACTGTCATATCGCCTGAAGTTCTGTTGACCACTCAGTTACAGAGAACTCTCCGGTTAGCAAAGTCTAAATTACTGTTTAGTGTTGTGATACTTTCAGTTCATTTGCTGAACTAGAAGAAAAACTGAAAAGTTACCAATCCACTAAATTCAACATGTTTATAGAGCCTTAGAATCGAACCTGTATCCCATATGGAAATCGTCATTTAGTTTGACGTCATGTTTAACCATTCAATCACAGAACATTCTCCAGTTAGCAAAGTCCAAATTACTGCTTATAAACTCACACCTTTAAAGATCTTTCTCGATATATCGTTTCTACTTCGAAACGTAACCTACCCTAAACAATGACAATATATTAGATGAAATGGATTAAATCCGACAAATGTTTTAATATATTTTCTATTTATACATTATTTTTTATGAATACCACTTACTTGAGTTAACGCTCTTTTTTTAATTAAACAATATTAGTTAGGTTTACTGGCCTGAATGTTCTAGAAATTTCGTAGAAAATATGCGTTCTCCTAAAGGAATCGAACCTAACCTTTATCCCATCCAGAAACCCTCATTTGGCCTGACGTGATGTTTAACCATTCAGCTACAAAGAGAACTTCCAATTAGCAATGTTCAAACATATCAATACACACACAGACACACATATATATATATATATATATATATATATATATATATATATAGAGAGAGAGAGAGAGAGAGCGAGAGAGAGAGAGAGCGAGAGAGAGAGAGAGGCAGACAGAATTTTTCAAGAAATGAATTAGTTGTAGCAATCAACAGTTAATAGTTTTCTACGTTGCAAATTTATTTTTTTTTTTAGTTCTTGATCAATAATCTGCCATATCAATTTTGACGCGTCGTCAAATGACCGAATTCATTAGTTGGACATCTTAAAAAATCGAATCTAGAAACGACATGTTCCTTCGTTTACACTGATCAACTGATATCACTCAGCGGGATTCGTGACAACTTGAGTTTTATTCTACAGCTGTGCAATAAATGAACAAAAAGCAACACCAATGTGAGCTAATCTAATAGTATTTGGATTTGCCATCTAAATCGTTATTATTTTGTTCGGTTTTTGATTATCGCATTTGATCCATAATAACTTGGAAACCAAGAATAAATGCTGAATAATCTCAAATAGATAAATAAATAAAACAGACATTATTGAAATATGATATTCCCAGATAGCGTCATGAAGACAGATTTTGTCAGCGCCTAAGATTCGTGTACGTTTTGCATTTAAATTATATATAAACTATTTGTTCAGAGTTTATTTTATTTTATTTACAAATCTTCATAGATATAGCGAATGGAAGCTCAAAGCTTTTAGTTTCAGCTGTTCATTTGATAAGCTTCTTAATAATTTAGTGTAAAATGCAATACAAATAACAATCTATTGTCAGCTCATGTGAGGTTACTGTAATTCTTCAAATAGATAGATAGATAGATAGACAGATAGATAAATGATAGACATAGATAATGATAGATAATGATAGATAGATAGATAGATAGTAGAATAAATGAAACGACTGACATAGATAGATAGATAGATAGATAGATAGATAGATAGATAGATAGATAGATAGATAGATGAGAATAGGAAATGAAACGACATACATAGATAGATAGATAGATAGATAGATAGATAGATAGATAGATAGATAGATAATGAGAGGGAAATAAACGATAATGATAGATAGAAATAGATAGATAGATATAGATAGATAGATAGATAGATAGATAGATAGATAGATAGATAGATAGATAGATAGATAGATAGATAGATAGTGAGAATAGGAAATGAAACGACTGACATAGATAGATAGATAGATAGATAGATAGATAGATAGATAGATAGATAGATAATGAGAGTGGGAAATGAAACGGCTGACATAGAAAGATAGATAGATAGATAGACAGATAGATAGATAATGGGATAAAGAAACAGCTGATAGATAGATAGATAGATAGATAGATAGATAGATAGATGATGATGGTGAGAATAGGAAATGAAACGGCTGACATAGATAGATAGATAGATAGATAGATAGATAGATAGATAGATAGATAGATAGATAATGAGAGTGGGAAATGAAACGACTGACATAGATAGATAGATAGATAGATAGATAGATAGATAGATAGATAGATAGTGAGAATAGGAAATGAAACGACTGACATTGATAGATAGATAGATAGATAGATAGATAGATAGATAGATAGATAGATAGATAATGGGAAATGAAACGGCTGACATAGATATAGATAGATAGATAGATAGATAGATAGATAGATAGATAGTGAAATGGGAAATGAAACGGCTGACATAGATAGATAGATAGATAGATAATGAGATAAATGAAATAGATAGATAGATAGATAGATAGATAGATAGATAGATGATAGATAGATAGATAGATAGATAGATAGATAATGAGAGTAGAAATGATAGATAGATAGATAGATAATGGGAAATGGGAAAAACGGCTGACATAGATAGATAGATAGATAGATAGATAGATAGATAGAATGATAATGGGAAATGAAACGGCTGACATAGATAGATAGATAGATAGATAGATAGATAGATAGTGATAATGGGAAATGAAACGGCTGACATAGATAGATAGATAGATAGATAGATAGATAGATAGATAGATAGATAATGAGAGTGGGAAATGAAACGACTGACATAGATAGATAGAGAGAGAGAGTGAGGGAGAGAGATATGAACAGACTGATATGAAGTGCCTGAGATAGAGGGAGAGAAAAAAAAAGCTACATAGATAGATTAATAGTCTGACATAGATATTAAAAGACTGAGACAGGTGAAAAAGAGAAACGAAGCAACGATGTTTATGAAATACGATGAAGGATTATCTTTTTGATACTGAATGAATTGATTAGGTTTGAACCATTTTAAATCATTGAGCCGAGAAAGGGTTTAAATATAGATTATATTTTAAACATTTCTAAACGAGATCAGTCTCTATGTGGCATCCATATAAGAGGGTACATATAATGCGTCTAAGGAAATAGCTCGAGTTCTCAGGTAAATATTTTGCTTTTGTAGCGCCATTTCGAACAATATTTGTTCTAATAGTTTCAAAACAGTTCCATACATCGATATATTTGAAGTGTTTAGAAATTATTAATTCTACATTCTGAAATTTTATTCTGGATTCAGGATACGTGTCATCGTTACTCTCATTTTAATCTCAGATTGTAACTTCTACTTTGGAAATGTTTATCTACTACTTCCTGTAACACATTAGTTCTGGGTATGACGATAAACTACATCCAGCAGCAAGGCTTCTAATCGAGAAATTGGAGGATTTAAGAAGCGTGGAACCAACACTAGTGTTCGCTGATCTACCCTGACCAGGAATGGTAGTACATGTTTGGATCCCAGCTATGGGAAAATAGTGACGCCCTCATCCCCACAAAAAAACTACGAAAGCATAAAAATATAACATTTTTATACTAAAGATACCAGCAATACAATTTTATATAAAAAACCAAAATTTATCGTAGAATTGCCAGAAGTAGATTTTATCAGTAGTTGAAGGCATACAATTGTGTTCAAAATATTTAGATTTCAGCATTAAATAAACCAAAGTGTTTGATATGTCGTTAATCCAAACCAAACTACCAACGTAAAAGGACACATTCATGGCATTAATCCATATAAATATCCTAGAGTTTCTTAAATCAAATTGTATTCCAAAATATAACATAAAAGACACATATGACAGCCTGAAGTAATTAAGTCCACACAAACATACAAAAAGCTGCGAATTAGCTACCACGTATTCAATTGTGAAAGCAGAATAACATATTTTTTTATTACTTAAAAGCTCCGAAGAAAATTCAATTAAAATTTTGGCATTTAAATGATTAAAGCAGTTTATATGCTGTTGGACACGGAAAGCAGTCTTGCAAAACTTGCTAAATAATGTTGATCATATTTTTCAAGTTCATTTTGATACCAGTAAGGAATAGCTATGCCATCAGCCTCGTCAGGACACTGGTATTTTGAGGTAATATATATATATATATATATATATATATATATATATATATATATATGATAGATAGATAGATACGTACAGAATGATACAGATAGATAGATAGATAGATAGATAGATAGATAGATAGATAGATAATATTAGTGGTAAATATACACATACATATGAAAACATATATCTAAAATATATACATATATATACATACACATGCATATATAGTTGTATAAAAATAATTCCAAGAGGATAGAATCCAGGTCGAACTCAATGTCCAGGACAGAGTAAGGATATAATAAAAAGGCTTAAACACTAATATTCCATGGTCATAATTTATTCCATTGGAATCGTAAATCTAAATTAAATGCCCTTCGGTTTTAGTTTCCCCCGCCCCATCTCTCTGCCCACCCCTTTTTCTTTTCTTTTCCTCTCCCTCTCTCATCTTCTGATCTTTAAGATTATATCGTCTATTGTGTGTGTATGTCACCACAAAATGTATCCTTTCCGGTTACATCTTTAATGTATTAGACATCCGAGAACATTCATGTTTCTCTCACTTAAACCTTCTTTGACTCCCCTCTTTAAAACTTCTTTCTGTTAAATTTTAATCCCCCTCTTCATCTTTAGACATTCCTGTTATTCACCTGTTCTTCGCTCGTCTGTTACCCCTCTCTATAGCTTTCATTTACTCTAACATTCGTCCCATACTCTCATGCATACACTCTCACTAAATTTTATTTTTTTATTCCCGGAGTTGGTTTTTTTTTTTGTTTTCTTTTTGAATTTGTAGGTCTGATGTATTGGATCGTATTTACGATTCCAATGGAATAAATTATGAGCATGGAATATTAGTGTTTAAGCCTTTATATATATATATATATATATATATATATATATATATATATATATATATATCATTATATATATTTATCTATCTATCAATCTCTCTGTACCACTGTCTATATTATTGCGTTTCTAACACAACTGTTCAGATATATTTGTGGAGTTAGTTTATCTGTCCCTATGCAGCTTTCAGTTAATTTTGCAATAAAGATTCATAGAACCATATTTTGGTTTCAATTTTAATGTACAGACCTACAAGAATACAATCTTCCCCGACTCACAGTGTTTTATTTCTTTTTACTCTACATTACCCACCACCAGACCCATCCAACCCCACAAAAAAAGCGGCAAATGTCATTTTCAATCTCATCAATCAATTTCAATCTCATCAAGCAATTCACTATACTCGGCTTTGTGACAATTATTGTGACCATGTCTGTGAGATTATAAAATCCGTCCTGACAAATAAAAAAGTAATCATTGACATGAAACGCCAGCAAAAAAAAAAAAATTCATCATCAAAATGTGTGGCATGTTTTATTACCTCCAAGCCCTTATTAAGTGTACAGGAAACCATTTTTTTATATTCGTTCATCTTCACAGTTTTAAGTCTTTTGAATTTCTTTTTAATACTAATGGTATTTTTTTACCCTCGTCAAATTCATTCTCTCCACGCACACAAAAAACATACTCACAAACACACACACACACACACACACATATATATATATATATATATATATATATATATATATATATATATATATATATATGTAAAATGTAAAAAACCTACATAGAACGAACATTATATACGAGTTCAAATGCCCTTTGAAAGAACTGTGTCTCTGATCAAACGAAATTCATAAATAATTACATCGGTCACACTACTATATGCTTCCTCTGACGCCTTACATTGCACCTATCCGACCACAGCTCCATTAGAACTCATTTAAACACATATACACAAACATACCAGACTCCATCCGAAACATACTAGTAGGACATACAAACATAATAATCTCATCAACGTCTAAAACAAGATTAAAAATAAGGGATGCCTTAATAATACAAAAAAAGAGACAGCAGTCAATAATATTAACTAGGAGCATAGCCACAATGTGCTGACTGTGTTCGGAAAATAAAACATCTCTATAACTCTAGATACATACACACAAAGCATACATCCAGTTAAACTGTAAAAATAAACCGCTCGTAATTACAGAATATTTCGACAGTTTTTACACCCTCTGCGTCCAGAAAAGTAAACACTTATTCGAACAAAATAGAAATAAATGAAAAGCATAATCTCGGTACCTTCTCTTTTGTATTGAATGAAACTTGTATAAAAGAGAGATTGCTACCTAAATTCACAATATATATATGATAGTATAAAGAAAAAATAGGAAACTGGGATTTCATGTTTCAATTTTATAAGTTATAGCTCATTACTAGCAGCATGGCCCGGCGTTGCCCGGGCTTGATTAAAAAATCGTACGACTCATACAGAAATCGCTATCACTTGACTTAAAATATTTTTGCCCTTCCTTGCCTTTAAAGGAGTGGCCTTTGCCATGCTGATGTTGCTACGTGCCTTACTTCTTGCCTATCTCACACTGCGAATTTTTTCTAAGCTCTATACTAAACATTAAATCTGTGACGAAAAAAGATCTAAACAAAATGAACACAAAACGATCAGCTTTAAAAAAGGACTCGTAACTGGAAAAGCCGAATGAAAAAAGAATGTTAACAAATACTTTTTCACACCCAACCCACTTCTGTGGAATCAGAATCAACGTTGAGTTTAAGCAAGCGAATGAGCTAATTGGAGTAAAGTGCCATGCAGATTTAAATTTTTCCCACTTGTGACGAATGCAGCTACCGATTTTTTTTTTTTTTTTTGCGTGCTAGCATGCTAGTTAACATTCGTGTCAGTCAGCTGTTGGCTCTCACGCTGGCCAATAGAATCTTCCTGCCTATTCGTGGCAGCCATCTATAGGCTCTCACTCTGGCCAGTAGAATATGGCCGCAAACTACATGAAATCTGCCGTAGAAGCATGACAAAATCGATTATTTCCACTATCGATGGGAGTTGGGAAATGCAAAGTCGGTCTTGCCCTCCCGCTAACTTGGAGCATGTGCACACACACATCCTGCCTTTTATAGATAGAGATCCTTTCATCTATATTTGATCTGCATTTGATATCAATACATATATATATATATATATATATATATATATATATATATATATATATATATATATATAGAGAGAGAGAGAGAGAGAGAGAGAGAGCACTATGTGACTATATAAGATTCTACTGACCTGAGGTGAAACATTGAATCAATAGCTGGATCTACCACAAGGAAAGTTGGTTCTCTGAGTCATGTCAGAAGGATTTTCTCGCCTGAGTCCATCCTTCGCGTTTACAAATCTACCATTTGTTTATGTATGGAATACTGTTGCCATATATGGTCTGGTTCCCCCGCTGCTCATATCGAGGTTCTCGACAAATTTCAAAAACGTATATGCAGTGTGATCGGTCTTGACTTGGAACCGCAACTACAGTCACTTTCTCACCGACGCAATGTGGCTTCCCTCTGTCTTTCTATAAATATTTTCATGGCAACTGGTGTGACGAGCTATTTTCTCCGTTACCCCGACGGCATGAATTTAAGCGTGCCACTAGGTTGGCATCTCAATTCCACCCTTTTACTGCGGAAATATTTAAATGCAACCGCCTCTTCTGCCCCAACAGCTTCTTCTCTCGCACTTCCAGATATAGAAATATGCTTCTTACTTGCTTCCTTAAAAATTATAATCTTCAAACATTTAAATGTAATGTCAATCGACATCATCTGATGTGTTTATCCCTGTTCTACTTTTTATCCTTGTCTGTGTGTGTGCGTATGTTAAAATACTCTAAACTGAGATATGTATGCATCTTTTTATAAATTTAATCCTTTTTTTTAGAAATATGTGCAGTATTTTTATATAAATAAATGAACTGCACCACTAACTTAAAATTATGTTACAAATATTCATATATAAATTTTACAGTCACTTTTCAATTCGCTATAAACGATTACCTCATGCAAGAAACTCAAAGCTATATTAAACAATGAGAAACAAAATATATATATATATATATATATATATACATATTATAGCATACATTTGATGTAAAAAATCGCCTTAATTAAAAAAAATCAATAATCGATAAAGCAGATCAAAAAAAGGTAAATCAATTTGTTTCCTTCACTTTGTTTCAAACTCGCTATGTAGTTTACTTATATCACAACGAGCTCAACGATACCTCATTTTTATTTCTACGCCACTGCGTTTAGCGATAAACCGTGAAAAACGAAAAACCGTTTTCAATATAAAATGCTTTCAACACAAATTTTTAACTAAGATCTCCCTCAATTTTGATCCAATATAATACAAACTTCACTTAATTGTAGCCAACAATAGACTGAGTATTTAATAGTCATTTTACCTGATAATTGAGTTCACCCATATATTGAAAACCGACGTAAATAGCGAAAATGGCGATTTTTATTTTTTCCTCTTTTCCAACCCTGGTAGCATACTGACAAATTGAATTTCAAAAACTCCAACATAATTGTGGTCTGAAGTGGAGCTTCAGGTTGCCTATTTTACCTAATCATGTCTTCGGTTAACTTCGATTGAATAAATACGGACAACTTCTGTTATAGCAATAACTGCACTAATTCAAAATGTTTTTTTAATGAAAATAGTTTAAACTAACTGAAGATAGACTCTGTTACATCAAACCTGATGCTGTTTAAGCTCCATGCTAATTGAACGCTTTTTCTGATCTACCATCTGTGTATGGCTGCTAGTATATATATATATATATATATATATATATATATATATATATATATATATATATATATATATATAATATGAAAAATATATAGAAAATAGGAAGGAACTGGTTAGGTAAATAATCCAAAAGTCCCTTAGTATTTTAGTTATTATTTTTTAAAAATAGTGCTCGATACAAAAGTAGAGCATAAATATAATTATTTATTTAAAATATGATTCCAAATCGCTACATAAGAGTTCTCATGTTTCAAAACTAGAGCCGAAAACTTCAATATAATCCTTTAAGATTAAATTGAAATTGAAAGAGGATGGAACGGAGCCCATCCTCAAAGCAACTCAATTTAATTTAAAGGATTATTTTCGTTTTCGGCTCTAGTTTTGAAACATGAGACCTCTTATGTATGATTTGGAATCATATTTTTAAATAAATAATTATAAATATATATATATATATATATATATATATATAT